TTTACTCATACATTCCTTTCAATAAAATAATAATCATACTTCAGAATGAATTTTGGATTCGTACTGGTTTTATTGGAGTGTTACCTATGTCTAGAGAGACCTGCAACTCAACAATAAATTTCTTTAATTGTCTCTTATTAACAGTTTATCAAATGCTGTTGGGGGGAAAAAAAAATCGTACGGTTACATTTATCTGGCTCTAGTTATGTGCAAACTAGTTAATTCTAATACCAAATGTTAATAATACAGTCTCACTGCTCGGTAATATTTGCTTTCCCCGATGGAATTAGAAATTGTGTCTTAATTTAGTGGTAGAGTTATTTAAACGCTCAGGGTTGTCCCACGTTTAGGAAGCTGTAAGACAGACATCACTAATTTTCCTAAGGCTGCTGGGTTCATGCAGAAAATGTGTTTTTTCTGCATAAAGTAGGTGCTTTCTGCAGCCACCATCCTAATGTGTTGCAGTTTACTGGAATTTTCTGCTGTGCCGTTCCTTTTATGACAGAATATTTCACTGTGCTGCAGCCTCTGGGAGCACAAAATGGGTGAGGATGCTGCTTCCTTGCAGGGCTGAGAGCAGGGAAATAGTCAAAGACAAAATGGATTCTCTGCTGTTCAGACGGGGAAATATCAGGCACGTTTTATTCAGTGTGACTTGCTGGTTTTAAATCACCGAGTTAATGCAACAAAACTTCCCCTATTAGAAACGACATCAAAGTGATAATAATCAAAATTCAGAAAAGGTTTGATGAACAACTAAAACGCTTTTATTTGTGACTCATTTACGTAGACAGTAATGAAGAGAATTTTGTGGAAACTGCAGCACAAAATTGCATCTAAAAACCGAACGAGCGAGGTTAGGGGACAGTTAACACTTAACTGACGTCTGGGCTTTGTGGATGTGGTATGAAACGATCAGATGTCACTGGTAGCGTTTATTCTCAAGTTATTAAATACTTTAGGCTTATATGGCTTACAACAGAATTCAATTAGTTGATGATGGTGATGATTGCTTAGCTGAACTTGTTGGTGAAAACACCGAAAACAGCAGATTTGCTTTTTGAAAGTGAACAGATGTTTTTGGCACAGAATTCACAAAGCACCGCTGAAAAAAGGAACCTTTATTGCTGAGAGAAAACAGATTAACCTCTATGCCTGTATATTCCAAACCTGAAATTTACTGTTGTTTTCCTTGCTTCAGGTATTCAGTAACTATCAAATGTCTCTTGGGTTTTTATTAGCACCTTCCAGTGACTGACAGCAGCAGCGTCAGTATTTGCAGTTCCACGGGTGAAACCAGTCTGCTGCTCGTTTGGAGTGGCCTCGTTATAAAGCAATAATTAGCGCTTGAGCCAATGATTGCTACTGCAGAAAAAGTTGCAGCCAGGCCAGGGTAAGAATCTCCACCTGTATGGAAGTAATGGACACACCTCATCCATCACTAGGGGCTTTCCCGAGGTGCAGAACGTTTTTAGTAAACCCTGAGTTGGGTGGGTTACACAAACAGAGCCCTGCTACACGTTTCTCTTTTGTCTTGTTGCGAGATGAAAGTGAGTAACTTCATCCCTCAGCTGTGGGATGTTTGGGGCGTGCTGGGCACGACGCGGGCTCCCGCGCGAGGAGCTGTTTAGGAGCAGTGACTGATGGCTCGTGCCTGGGCGCTGATGGGCCCTGGGCTGAGAGGCACTCAGTGCTCCGCCTGCGCTGCAAAGCCTATTCCTCAGAGCTCCCGACAGGTTTATTTGGTCTCACCTTGAGTAGAGCAGGGCCGTATTGATTGCATTGGTGTGGATTTAAACACACTATTGGCTTAAAATAGCACCACCTATGCAGAAGAAAATCAGTGTCTTAACCCTTGAGGCTGCTGGAGCGAACAGATTCCTGACAGGTTTCCTCATCCTCAATTGAATTAACAAATCCGTTGCTGTTTTGCACGTCTTGCAGCGGATCAGCCACGGGGATTTACATACAGCCTGGGTGCCAGGCCCGAGCTCGGCAGCGGGCTCACACCCCTTCATTTGAGACAGCCTCCTAAATGGAAGATTTAATACAGATGAACTCTTCTTTTAAATTTTTTTTGTAAATCTTTTGGTGGCCGCAGCTGTCTTTTCTCAAAACATTATTCTGTACTCACCTAATAAATAATATTATTCACCATGAGAGGTTTATAATGCTCTCTTTCCGAGCTGCTGCAGCTGGCTGCCTGCATGAAACCGTATTGCTGGCATCACACAGGGAATATTTGATCAAAAAGCAAACTAGGAACTCTCCTGCCTTTAATGGTGGAAAGCTATGCTGCTTACTGATAGGTAATCAAACTTGTCTGTTGTAAGATGTCCTGTGAAATATTAGAAAAATAAAGTTTCAGTATTTCCAGTTTTTCCAGTACTGACAAAGCTCCGTTATTCCTAATACCTTGCTGCAGACACAACAACAACAAAAAAAAAAAAATAGCAAAACAGCCATTATCAAATAAATCAGCTCCGTGTGCCAGCAGGGAGGAGACCTTTGGGGGGAGGAAAACCAAACCGAAACTAAACTCCCCCCAAAGAGCTTTTGTTTTTATTCCAGAGCAGTTCTTTTGCTCATCCTCACCTACATTTATTTTCAAGTGGTTTTATCAAGTTCTCTTTCACTATGTAAACACATACATAACTCTTCTTAAAACACGCACCTTATCAGTGAGAGTAATAGAAACGGGCAGGAAACTCTTGTAAAATCTCTTTGGGTTTTTTTTTTTTTAATGCGGCTCCCCCTGACGTTTTCGGTGTGGGCTCCCGGAGGACCCTGCCCTGCTGTGCCAGCGGAGGGAGCTGTGTATGTAGGAATGGCTGTGCTTTCAGGCAAGCAAAACACTTTAAATAACGGGAGGTTGGTAATGAGTAACCACAGTTTTGATAAGGTTAGATAAAATAGATTGTTTCCCGTCTTTCTGCATTTTCCTCGTGGTCACTTTGTGTTATTGTTATTTCTTTATCATGTTTTTCAGTTTGATTTATTGCGAACTCTGGCTTTATAAGCTTTCAGGAGGTGCTGAAATTACTGTAATTATTCTTCTGGATATAATCTTAAAAACTCAAAATGCAGGCACACCCATGGCGTGGCTTTGCCTGGGTTAAGACTCTGAGCAATTGAAGTTATGCGTAAGTACCTCTCATAGACGTAGTGAGTATATAGTTTTCTTAAAGTTTTTTGCTATTTCCTTTTTAGGTCACAAGCAGAGCGTTATGTACGTGTATTTATTGTAAGAAAATAGTTAAATTGACATGAAGAAATATTTTAAATTGTTGACAAGCCAGACGAATGTAAGCAAAATTGGGCTTCCCCCCCCGCCCGTAGCTCTTGTGCATTCTTCTATAAAATCCCATCTATGACAGAGGAACGGTCAGAGTTGCAGATGTGAACAGTTTCAGGGGGTGTTGCCACTAAGTTCTGACTCTCCCACGTTTTGGGACATGTTCCCTGGCATCTGGTGAAAGGACTGTGAGGATTTTCTGAATTGAACAAATAATTTTTTTTTAAGCCTGAAAGAGAGGAATAGGTGGATGGAAATCCTTATCCCAACCTGCCCAGTTACAAACGTCCCCTTCACGAATAAACAGAAAACCTGGCAAAAGAAATGCGGAGAGAGGGACCTGGGAGATTGGGGGGGGG